GCATCACCTCCTCCAGGAAATATTTTCTACCCTGACTCCAAACTGAATCAGCAGCCTCCTACAGGTCCACATAGCTCGCGGGCTCTCGTCTATCTCCGTACTGATAACAGCACTAGCTTATGACTGTCTGGGTCTGGGTCAGAATTCCTGTCTATGTACTCCCCAAGGGTCCTCTTTGTATTTCTACTACCCGATCTAGGGCTGGGTGTAAAGAATATACTTGTGGGAGCTGTGGAATGAAAGATAGAATCTCTAAGTCCAGCATAGGAAATGTTAACAGTCAGCAAGCGCTTGGGCTGAGAATGTCTGGCCTTACTGTCAGAAGGGATGGTGCTGGGGCTCCAGACCCCAAAAGTCTTCCCAGAGCCACTCTTGATAGCAGGGGCTGACTGCTCTGGCCAGCCACAGCAGGGATTACCATCCTCCTGGTGTGACCTACTTTCGCCTGGTGTTTGCTCCCTAAATCCTTGCTCTTCCCTGGAATTGAGTGACCTGGAGTGTGTGTATGGGTTTGGTGGTGGGGACAGAATCTGCTCTCTGGCTAAGGGCTTAAGAGCTTTGTGTATTTTATCCCAAAGCTGGGGGAGAGAGGTAAGCTGATAGTCATACAGACTGGACCCTGGATACAGCCACCCAGGTCAGAGCATCATGGGGCAGTGTTTCTCACATTGGCAGCTCTGCAGACATGAAACAGCCCTAGTGGTTAGAACGTCGGCCTGCCAACTGAAGGGTTGCAGGTTCGATTCCAGTCAAGGGCACATACGTCAGTTGTAAGCTTTATCACTGGCAACCAGTTGATGTGTCTCTCTTACATTCATATTTCTCTGTCTCTCCCTCTCCTTTCCACACTCTAAAAAATTAATTGAAAAAATATCCTTGGGTGAGGATTAACAAAAAAAAAGTTCATAATTCCCTACTAAATTAAACAGACAATATTTATTGGTGTTAATTCACTTTTAGGTTTAAAGTATAACATTAGCTTATATCAGTGATTTTCAACCTTTTTCATCTCGTGACACAATGTAATCACTAAAATTCTTCAGCACACCAAAAAATATATTTTTTGCCACTCTGCCAAAAAAATTGTTATATCCTGGCCAGGTGTGGCTTAGTGGTTGAGTATTGAACCAGGAGGTCATAGTTTGATTCCAGATCAGGGCACAAACTTGGGTTTGGGGCTCCTTTTTTGGCAGGGGGTATGCAGGTGGCAGCCAGTTAATGATTCTCTCTCATCATTGATGTTTTTATCTCTCTCTGAAATCAATTTTAAAAAATTGGTATACTTTTGATTTATTCACATCAGACAGCTATTGTGTTGGCTGTTGTCATTTTTTGTACTTGACAATCCAAGGGAAAAGAGGTCAGTGCCCCTGGCTAAATAGTCAGGTATTGCATGTTTTAAAAATTCTTGCAGCACACTGGTTGAAAATTGCTGGCTTGTCCAGCTGGCATCGCTCAGTGCTTGAGCATCGATCTATGAACCAGGAGGTCACGGTTCAATTCCCTGTCAGGGCACATGCCTGGGTTGCAGGCTCGATCCCCAGTGGGGGGGTGCAGGAGGCAGCCAATCAATGATTCTCTCTCATCATTAATGTTTCCATCTCTCTCCCTCTCCCCTCCTCTCTGAAATCAATAAAAATATATATATTTTTAAAAAATGGCTGGCTTATGTAGTCCATTAAAGAGTGGCGGTGACCCTTTCGGTGGGCACAACACTGAGAAATCGCCAGGACCAATGAGCTTTTTAGGTGTGTACATTCTCTAATTTTATTCCCAGTCAGGGTACATGCCTGGTTTCGGACTTCATCCCCAATAGGGGCCATGCAGGAGGCAGTCAATCAATGTTTCTCTTTCATCAATGTTTCTAGCTCTCTATCTCTCTCCCTTCCTCTCTGTAAAAAATCAATAAAATATATTTTTAAGAAAAGACAGTTCCATGTGCAAAGTAAGTGTTCATTCAACAAAGACTTGTTGAATAAATGAACAGATTGAAATTAGGAAGATGGATGGAGATTACAATCCTTTTATTACCTCCAGCATCTATTCCCCAGCCCTCTGCAATTTGGGTTGTTTGTATAGTGAAACAATTCTGATCCTATAGAGAAGTCATTGTGAATAGTAACAAGATTTTTTTTAAAAAATCTACTTGCTTTGCAGTCTTAGGATTCACTTAAATTCAATAACAACAACAAAAATGAAAACAAAAAATATGTTATCCTAAATTGGCCCAAGACTAAAGACCAATCCTCAAGTTAACCATTTGCAACTCCTCTGAGATGGAGGCCAAATTTAACCCATCTGAGTGCCTGATTTATTTTAACTGCAGTTTTCAAAAAATAGATTTAATATAATTTAAATTGATCCTTTGCGGAGTTCCAGCGGCACTTCCAGAAACCTGTTGAAACGCATTTTGTCCCCAACCTTGTATGACAGAGCACCCTCCACTCTAACCGGAAACTTGAAACGTTCTCCCTACGCAGTTCCTCCTTTTCCTTTGTTTTTAAATTAATCTTTTTAATTTTTCAGTTCACATTAAATATTAATGTATATTAGTTCTCGGTGTACCTTCTTTTTCTATAACAGGTTCCTCTCGCAGCCTACGAACGTCTTTGTACAAGTTAGACATCCCCCGCCTCCTAGAGAGACAGTCCTGGCCCTGAAGGCGTTGATTGGCAGGCCACGCTTGGAGCGCCCCCAACCGCGTAGCCGGCCCTCCCGAGGCCCC